AGCCGCGTCATGTCTCGGCATGTAGACGGGCGACACGCCACTGGTGCAGGCGGCGGCCAACGGCCACGACCATGTCGTCCGCGTCCTCCTCGACCACCAAGCGTCCACTGAGGGCGTGCGCGATGTACAGATTCCTGCTCGGTTACGCGGCTCATGACTTCGGTAGGATCGCCTCTCGGCGCTGCTGCGCGCAACGCAAAAGGGCTCGGCGACGACGGTCGCCCTCCTCGCCAGCCACCACGCCAACCTCGAAGCCCTCTTCCCCGTACGCTCCATGTGCAGTGACTTCAGCATGCCAAGTATCGTGATATTAGGACGGCAAGACGGCGCTGGTGTACGCGGCGCAGCACGGCCAGTCGCAGCTCGTCGAGACGCTGCTCGAGCACCACGCCAACACGGAGGCCACCGACGAGGTCGGTGCTTGAATCCTCATTTTGGCGGGATTGGTTGACATGCGATTTTTTTTCCAGACGGGCAACACGGCACTGCACTACGCGACCGAGAACGGCAACACGCGTATCGTGACGCTCCTCCTCACGGCCAACGCGCGCTCGACCGTCTTCAACTACGTACGCGCCATTCGAGATGCCAGACAGAATATGTTACAGTGGTTCTAGGCGCGCAGCACGCCTCTCCTGGCGGCCTGCATCAACGGCCACGTCGAGGTGCTCCGCGTGCTCCTGCAGTTCGATACGGAGCTCGAGGCGTACAACGACGACGGCTGGTCCGCGCTCATGTACGCGTCTGCGATGGGCCACTACGAGTGCGTCAAGCTCCTCCTTGCGAAAGGCGCGCGCGTCCAGGCAGTCTCTTCGGTCTGACACGCCATGTGTTCCAGTGTTTTTATCATCCAGTGGATCTAGAACGGCTCGACGGCGCTTTTAGTCGCGACGCGCAAGGGGTACCACGATGTGGTGCTACTTTTGCTACAGCACAAGGCACCGGTCGACGCCACGTTCAACACGGTGCGTTGTCTCTGCCTCGAAGTTTCTGAGAAGATGCGCAGGGCGGTTTGACGTCGCTCATGGTGGCTGCGACGCAAGGCTACTTGAGTATTTTGCAGCTCTTGCTGCAGTTCCACGCCAATTTCACGCTGCGCAACCACGTACTGTCTTTTTACCAAGTATCAACGTATCAAGTGAGGCGGCTAGGACGGCAAGACGGCGCTCGATCTCGCGACCGAGAAGAACCACATGAGCTGCCGGTCGCTCCTCGACATGCGCGAGCGCCACCCGTTGCTGTACTTTGCCAAAGTTGGCCAGCTCAAGCCACTCCAGCAGCTTGTGCGCCAGCACGTGGACATCGACGACCGCGACGAGGTACATTCGGTTGAACCCATTCGCCTAAACAAGTACATGGTGTCTAGCTCGGGAAAACCGCGCTCATGTACGCCGCAAGCTCCAACCAAGTGGCCATTGTCGAGTATCTCCTGAGTCTCCAAGTGGCCGTCGACGCCTGCGACAACGTACCGTCCCGAGTCCTTTCTGTACTGAATAAGAGAATTGTAGAACGGCATCGACGCGCTGGCCATGGCCGTGGGCGACTGCCGGCACTTGCTTGAGCGCGAAATGCTCTACCGCGTCGTCAAGTCGGGCGACCTAGCGACGTTCCGAGACATCCTCACGCAGAACCCGGCCATGGACATTGAGCAGCGCAACCCGGTACTACGATGTTTCGTATCAACTTGATACAAATGTGGCATTTCTCAGCACGGAACGACGCTGCTGATGCTCGCGGCGCAATACGGCCATGCCGACATGACCAAGCTGCTCCTCGACCGCAACGCCAACCTCAACGCGGAAGAGACGGTGCCGTGGCGTTGGGTGTACTTGAGTGTGCGAATTCGTACCTAGGACGGGTCCAACGCGCTCTTTTACGCGACCGACAACAACCACAAGGTCTGCCGCGCGCTCCTCGAGAAGGAAATGGCGTTCCGCGAGCGCTACCCGCTTCTGTACCACGCTCGCTGCGGTAGTTTCCCTCTCGAGGCAATTTAAGTCGAACGATGATCTCTGCGCAGGCGACGTGGCCAAGGCGGCGCTCGTGCTCGATACCGACGCCGACCCCGACGAGCGCGACGAGGTACTGCACTCTGGAGAG